TTTTGAGATAAACCAAGTTGAAAGTTGCTAGTGGGATAACATATGATGGCAAGAAATATATTAAAAATAAAAATAAAAAGGCGTATATTTGGTATTAAAATTGTATATCAATGGTATAAAGGAATAATAATTTAATTTAACCTTGCTCTATCTAGGATTCCCACAAATGTGATTAATTTATTTAATTAAGGGGCCCTAAATTAAAAGTCCTCACCATAATCAAGTGAATTTATAAAGCCCCACCTCCCATTTTGGGTAGGATGATACTTTTTTAATGAGAAAATGGGAAAGCTTTCTTTATTTTATTATTATTTTTTTTTTGTTGATATTTGATTAATTAGAACATCTAGTAGGGTCTTAATGAGGAGATTTTTGTGAATTTTTATTTATTGCATTTGAAAGTTTAAATCTTGAATAATGTTTATTTTTTAATTACTTATGTATTTAATACACCCTTTCTAATTTTTTGTGTCCTTACATCCATTTTAATGGAATAAATGACTACCAAGTCGTTTTTTTAAAATAAAGAATAGTTATTTATATGGTTCTAATACGTACAATAATACTAAATTTTGCAAATAAAAAATATTTTTAAAAATAATATCCAAATTGCAAAGTTTGCCATTTTTGGAGGGGGCAGTAGTACAAAAGCTTTGTACCTATAATTGCTTCCAAAAATTATAAAACCAAAGTTTCCACCAAAAAATTAATAAATAAAGTAGATGCCCCAAATTGGGTTGGATTGGGACACATGGATTGGTGGCTATTGAACTAAAATGAAGCAAAAAAAAAAATTGTAATTGCATCAATATGACAAAGATTGTATTTTGAGCTAAAGGATTGCATTTTGTCTCACCCTATCTCTCCCTCTACAAAAATTTATTAGCTTAAATTATCAGCTCAGTCCATAAAATTTTAAGGGTGCGTCTAATAGATCAATTTAATAGGTCTCCGTACTGTACTGGTAAGTTCTTGAAGTTTCTTGTGTTTGTTTCTCCTTTGTAATAAAGAAAAATAAAATTGCATGATCATCAACACCAATAAATTCAAGAAACTTGTTTGTTTGTTTCGATATTTCTATATAATCTTGAAAATGTTTCTAAAAAAAAAATTAAAAATAAGAAATATATATAGTTATCAAATACTTGGGTAAATTGGAAACAAAACATTATCAAATGGGTCATAAATCTTTGAACTGCGTCTACTAGAACATTTTATACGATTCATCAATTTATAAGACACAAAATTGTATAAGATATATATTTCAATTTTATGTTTAATAGGTTGGTGAATTAAAAAAATCGAATATGATAGGATCTATTAGACACATGATTGAAAATTTAGTGACACATCACACATTGTTTAAACTTTAGAACCTATCAGACATAAAATTGGAAGTTCGGAAACTTATTAGATATTTTAATGTTTACAGACCTATTAGACACAATCTTAAAACATGGACTATACTCTAAACATTTTAGTATCATAAATGACATTTCAAGTTTGAAAAGATTTAATAACCCTAACAAATAGGGTAGAAATTGTAATGGAAAAATAGTTTTGTCATAAATCGTAAATATAGCACAAGTATTAAGATCGTAAAAATATGACAATTTTGTAGGACAAACTATCAGGATCCGTTGAATGGAAGGTTTTTGAAAATTAATTCATTGAGCTGGGGCTAGATTTGGTACTGTTTTTGGTTATATTAATGCAATACTTTAATTTATTGCCTCAACTTATTTCTTACTTCACTCAAAAAGAAATCAAATATGAGGTGAACTCATCTTTTTTTGGATAAAGTTGAGTGAGTTTAAGAGGTCAAAACAGATATATTGTTTTTTTTACCTTAAAGAACAAGACATGACTTTGCATGTTCTAAGATATTTAATTTAAGATCAGAGTAACAAAACGGACACAATAAAAATATCAGCTCATTAATTTTCTTTTGAAGCAAATTGCAAGCTTTAATCATTTTTAAGTATGATTACCATTTTTAAAGGAAGAAAATTCAGGCAGACAACTTGGTATATAAAATGCAGGGAAGTAATTGAATTTGTTTTTTCCCCCATTTCTGTTCCTCAGTTAATAGCGATTTCTATCAAAGGCTGAACAGATTTGATTCTTCCTTTTTAAAAATATATATAAGAACCAAGAAGATTCCATTTCCTTTCCAAATTCCAACACTAGTTGAATTTTCCATTCCACTCTCTCAGTGATTCCAGTTTAAAACTGATATCATATAGTGGGGGTTTTTGGGTTTGTCTCTCAATCTCAATTCAGAGCCAAAATTCTCCAAATGGGTTCTCTCTTTTTCAGTTTCTGCCTCTGCCCAATTCCTCATCCATGGTTCCCACCTTTTTCTCTGGGGTTTTTGCACTCGATCCCACAATAAAACAGTCACTATCTGATATCGACACCCACTTCCGAGCAAATTATTTTCAAAGTTTTAATCTCTTTTTTCCCCCTTCCCCATTTGAGTTGGAGCGTTCTCTGGATATGATTTATCATGGGAATCGAATTCCGTTCTAGTTTCGGCGTGAATGGGATTGAAATTCCTTCCGAGGTTGGAGCAGCTGAAGTGAGCCCGATTCGAGCCGCCATTAGAAGACACTGTTGAATCGAAGGGGAACTGTTTCAACTGGGAAATTCGAGCTTTCGAGAAGTGTGGCAAGAGAAATTTGAGTCGAGGAGAGAAGGGTATTGGGAGTATGATGTCGTCCGGGATAAACTTGGTGATGACCGTGATTGGGTTCACGGTGAGCACTTTGTTCATCGTGTTCGTCTGCACAAGGCTAGTTTGTGCTCGGATTCATCTCAATGCTTCACGGCGATCCTTCGCAATCGCTTCTAGATCTGATTTCAATGGGGTGAGCTCGTTTTTCTCTATTGAATTTACTTCCAGATTTGATACATGTAGATTCATTTTGTACCGCATCGTTGATTTTCCATTTTGTTGGTCGCTGAGCTGAAGGGGAGCTATTTTTGTTAACTATGTTTCTGGGTTTAATTTTGTATGCTATATCTTTCACTGGAAAATGGATATGATTGCCTCTATGCATTGTAGTTATAGTGCCGCTTAGATACTTACCTTTCTGCCATTTTAGTTGTTAGGTTTCAGTATTCATTTCATACAGTGGTTTTACTCTATTGAATTTTTCCCCTTTTTCGCTCTCTCTCTTTTTGGTCCCGCTGGGGTCAACCTCATACATCTGGATATCATGAGTTGCTGGATTGTCCCTCTTTCATAGGTCTGCTAATGCATTTTCTTGATAGCCTTTTTGGATTGTCGCTTTTAGTCAATTACAAATGGACTGGGAGGTTAGACAGAAACAAAAAGGGTCTCTGAAACTCAATTCTTGTTTGTTCTTATAGGCAGTGGTTGTGCATTTCTATTTCACATTGGTATTCGTCTATTCCTTCTTTTTAAGATACGCTTTTAGATTTCTTTTCACACTTTACGTCGATTTGTTTGTGGACATCTCTTTATTTACGCGTTGAATTTCTTTGTTGCAGCTGGAACGGGGATTACACGGTCTTGAGGCGTTTGCTGTAGCCAACTTTCCAACTAAGAAGTACAGCGATGAATACTTCTCATCTATGAGAAATGCCCAGTACGTGCTCCTTCAATTCACAGCTTCTCACTGCACTGGTTATCATGATTTCTCAAGAAATTTCATTTTATCTGAAAATATACATATAATCAACCATAAATTGCCACCAGAGCATATTGTAATTGAATGGCAGTGAAAATACTTTAATGCTTGTTTCCTGTACAAAGCTAGATATTATTATGGTGTTTGTGAAATTTGAATGATGTATTAATATGATGAGCCTACAATGAATTGGTCTTGAAGTTGATTGGTTTGGCCCTAAGCATAATCATTATGAATATTGGGTGGTAGGATGAGATGTCACAAGCCAGATATTTATCCTTATCAAACTGTTCAGGTGGAAAAGAAAAAAGTAGGAATAAACAGTTTGAGTTGCTTCTGAATGTGATTGGTGGAATGGTTTACCTTTCAGTGATCTCTTGATAATATCTCCAACAAGTTGGTAGAATAATTATTTTTTGATGAGATATTTTGGTAAGTTGGCTTCAAATATGGGAGTAGATTCGGAGAAAAGGTTTACGGGTTAAAATCTTGTATGGTTTGGAACAACGATAATGTGGTAACCTAACGCCTTCTTTCTCTCTCTTAAATACACATCTGCCAAAGATTCGGGATGCGATAATTAGATCTCGGCATGAAGGTGGTGGTAACCCATATGTTCATGTTAGAGTGGACATTATTTGGTGATGTTCCATCACTTTCACTCTGCCTTGTGCCTTCCTTAGGATCAATAAAACTTCACCCATGTCTTCAGGATTAACTTATCTGGGCTAAGGGGGTATACTGGATAAGTTTTGGTTTTCACTTTCAAAACTGGAATTCAAATTTTATTTATCATAGGAAACTTTATAGATCTACTTTGCTTCTAAGAACTCAAGGACAAAGTTGTACAACCTATAGAACAGATGTGGTACTAGTGAAGGAAGGTCGGTATATCTACTCTGCTTCTAGCTCTCATGAAATAACCTTTCGTTGCTTTTATTTGGATTAACTCATTGATCTTGATGTCATCTTGTAAGAGCTACTAAAATTTATGACAAGGAAAAAACTTGATGTCAGGATTCATTTGTTTAAATTTCAAAATATGGGGATTTAGTTATTCTTTCATGATAAGAAGTTAGCTTGTAAATGTAATTTTTTGCTTCTATTCGAATAGTTTACCTTACCCATAAAATGGTTAAAGAAGTTTGAATTAAGAATCTGGATTATGAGCCAAAGCAAGTATAGCTTGGCGGTAATTGGCATATATCTCCAACTAATAGGTTGTGCGTTTGATCCCCACCCCCATATGTTGTACTTTTAAAAAAAATCTGGATTATGCTATAGTTCATTTACTATAGCATAATCTAAATTCTTAATTCAAATGAGATTCTGAAACATAGATTGAATGAGAAGAATGTTTGTGCAAAAACTATATAGAAAGAGAATTTGAATTATGCTATAATCCAAATTTGGATTATGAGAGAAGTCCATTCTCTTGCCTCATGTTTTCTACAGCACCATAGAGACTGTATAGAAGTAAAAATTTGAAACAGAGATTAAAGATGGTTGGTTTGGAATGAGATTCTGTTATCTACAATCATCCATCTTCCCTATAATTTAGCAAATTTGCTATACTATCCATTTCTTTCCTATGTATAAACCATGCACCTAGGCAGAAATTAAGGATCTCCCCCTGAAAGTGAAAAAATTTAAAAACAACAAAAAATCTTGAATGACAAGAATGTCTGTGCAAAAACTAGCTGCAATTGCACCTGTGATTTTTTAAATCAGTTTCTTGCATAGATTTTTTTTTTTAATGATATATAATGCTGCTAGGATTGTTGTTTATGAAGTTTTTGACAAATTTTCTACTTTCTTGAAACTTAGTTTATTCTCTTTCTATATTTTGGTGATGGCTTCCTCTAGTAACACTGCGGGATCGTTTTATCTACAGTACTGTTCTTTGTGATGTATTTTCGAATGATGAAACTGAATGATTAAGAAGTTTAGAGAGCGAGCTTAGTAATTTGTGGCAGAACAGTGAACTTTTGCTGGAATATGAATCTGTTTCAAATGTCAACTAAATTATAATATTTTCAAATGGCAGATGCACAGTTTGCTTGGCAGATTATCACTGTGAAGACATACTGCGCATTCTCCCCTACTGTGGACACTCCTTTCATGTGAACTGCATAGACATATGGCTGCATCAGCACTCGACGTGCCCGGTTTGTCGGGTATCCTTACGCGAGGCCCCAGACAAAAAACGACCGATGCAACCTTTGTTTAGTTCAGCAATTCGCTCTCATTACACCCTCAACTCAAATGTCTGCACTCATCCCTGCGACGGGTTCCCTTTAAGAGACCTTGAAAACAGTGGGCTGGAGCCAATCCAGGAGAACCACTGCTCACCGGGGGCCAATGGAGCAGATTCAACGGAGAACGCTTCCTCATTTGTTGAAGGTAACTCGATTAGTAAAGGCTCAAGAAACAAAAATGTAGAAACATCAAATGCTTGAGATTCTCTGTGGTTTAGCTTATGATAGGGAGTCTGGATTTGGTCAGAGATTGATATTGGGTGTGTCCTAAAAGTAGAGATGTCCTTAACTATCTGCTCAGAAAGTTTGACTGTGTTGTTATTTTACCATTGTATATAAGTGTTGTTGGTTAGAGAATTAGTCTCTGTTGCTGGTTTTGGGCAGTTTTGTTATTTTACCATCAACTTTGCTTTCCATAGTTTCTCTCTCTGTCATATTTATACCAATGCATGGCAGCAGCTGCAGCACAGGAGCTTTTAAGTGGTACAGTTAAAAATTATAGTGTCCGAATCTACAGAGTATGAATACCCATTTCATTCGAAGTCTCGGTCTCATATTATGATGTCTGTCAACAATAAAAAAATTATTTCTAAAAGCAAAATCATAGCATTAACAAAGGGAGCAGATACTTTTGGTGTATTGAAAATTTTCTTAGAAGAATCGCATTCTATCGCTCTAAGAATAATTCCGGTACTACGGGAGTATCATACCTCCTTTACTCACACTATGGTTTTGTCTTTATAAATACCTTTTTAATATTGGTGAACTCCACATCATTTTTAATACGATGGTGGCGTGGCAGACATAAAAGGAAGGAGTGTATACTCTCGTAGTATCATAAATTTTCCCGCAGCAGCGGCAGATGGGTGTTGTGTTTTTGGAGTTTTAAGTTACTTTCCTGTGGGCTATGGACTGCAACATTGACCAAAATTCTCTCTTTATTCACTTTCTGCTGTTACATTAAATATGGAACCACCTATGCCAGAATCTTGTGGATTACAGTTGAGTTGACCTTCTACTAGTGTCACATGGACTTATTATTTGCAGCTCCTCTGTTTCTCTGTGTATGACACTTGTCAATTTTATACCGTTGTTCTTCCGCCGAACTTAAGTGGTTCGATATTATTGCTCTCTGTATGGATAGTAGACTCTTTCGTATTTCATTGCTTTGTCTAATGGATAGTAGATTCAAATTTTCCTTTTTCTCGACTGAACTTAAGTGGTTAGATATTACTTTCTTCTATGAATTGTAGATTTGGATTGAAAAAAAAAAGTTTTTATTTGTGATGTTATATTTTAAAAACAAAGAGTAGTTTTTGAGGTTGCGAAAGGACAATAGTTACCGTAAATATCTCCACAATGGTATGATATTGTCCATTTTAGATATAGTTCTCACGATTTCGCTTTTGGTTTCTGTCGAATGACCTCGTACAAATAGAGTCTATGGATCATGCTCTTCTCTAACCAATATGGAACTTTATTCGCACATTTTACAAATCCAACAGAGATAATTAAGACGATAAAAAATGATTAAATATTTCTAAATATACAAGAAAGGAGAAGCTTTGACTCGTTTAGTCATATCCAGGAATGTTAATGCCTTGTTTTGTCTAAACACTTTTTAGTCAACTCCTTCAGCTTCCAACTACTCTCCCCTTTAAATACCTGCCTCCCTCTTAAATAAATATATATATATTATATATATGAACTTAATTTATTTTTAAAAAATCATTATCCATGATTATAAATCAAATTATTTACTTTAGTCTCTTATTTTGGTTCTATAGTTTTGTATACTTTTAATTTTTATAGTGCTTTATCCCTTGATTAAGATTTACCAAATGACACTATTAAAGACAATGCATTACTTAGATTTGTCATTTAACTTTATATTGTGATGTTTTGTTTTAAGATAAAATTGAGTTATGTTTTTAGATATTATTGTGATTAAAATTTTAGAAAGTGCTCTTTACTAATGGAAATAAAAAAGTAATATCTAATAAACTTAAATTAAAAGTAGCTACAACTTTTTTTTATAATAGGTCAAATACGAGGGTGGAGACTTGATGCCTGTGATGACCAAGTTGAAACTTAATTAAGACAAAAACATATGGACTAAAAATATAATTAAACCATTATTATATATGTGTTTATATTTATTCATAAAATTTGGATTATCTTTTTTAATAATGACTACCGAATTTAGTGAAGGAAGGTAAAGTTTAGAGTCTAAAAACAAATAGAAAATATTTGGTTACCCAATTTTATTCTCACTATCATTGAAAAATTGGTAGATCTATATTTTTACATCTTTCCCTTTTAATTGTCAAATATTTAATAGTGGGGGAGACCAACATTTAAAGCTACAAATATAAATAGTTTTATGTAAAATCTAAAAATTAAAACAAAAATTTTAGAACTTCTAAGAATTTATTTAAGTGAGTATTAGGGCATCAAAATTTGAATCTTCACCTCACAATTTTTTAATTAAACAAACATAATATTTATAAATCAGAGATTAAAACAGAATAACTAAAGCAAGTTAAAACAAAAAAAAAGGTATAATTTAATAATCTGCAAAAGAGGAAAACAAAACTCAAGAAAACATATTGGAAATTTCGTCTGCAAAAGCTGCAAAGAAATAAAAGCATTAGAACATATTCGATTTAAATTTCTTCTTCTTCTTCTTCTTCTTCTTCTTCTTCTTCTTCTTCTTCTTCTTGGATCTCGATCAAAGTCTGATTGTGGGCATGGCTCTGAGAGAATTCTTCATCACCACAGTAAATTCGTACTTCCTCGTGAAATCCAATTCAGCGTTCGGCGGATACGAACTCCATTCAAATTCCTGAACCAATCTCGCCAGCATCAGATGAACATGAATCGTCGCCATTCCCAATCCAGGGCAGATTCTCCTCCCCACTCCGAATGGAATCATCTTC